CATTTCAGATTAGATGGAAAATCAAAAACACAAATATGCATAATCCAACCTTCACTACAATGATATCAGGATGGGGTATAGTAAAATTAATTGCAGAGTGCAACAATAAAAAAATTAATAAAGCAGTTAAAACAGTAAATACATTCAGCCACATGAAACTGAAGAGTGAAAATTGATATCAATCTAGGCTGACAATTCACAACTCATAAAAACTTGAGAAACCTGTACAGTGGTGCCTCGCAAGACGAAATTAATTCATTCCGCAATTTTTTTCGTCTTGCGATTTTTTTCGTCTTGCGAAGCACGGTGTTGGAAAAGTTTTGGAAAAGCTTCAAAAATCACCAAAGTCTTCAAAAACCTCAAAAAAGGCTACCACACCGCGTGCTATGAGTTGCTCCTCGAAGTCAAGTCGCAACTGTATTAACGGTGTTAAGAAAAAGGAAACAAACTTGCAAGACGTTTCCGTCTTGCGAAGCAAGCCCAAAGGGAAAATCGTCTTGCGAAGCAGCTCAAAAAACAAAAAACCCTTTCGTCTTGCAGGTTTTCCGTCTTGCGAGGCATTCGTCTTGCAAGGTACAGTGGTGCCTCGCAAGACAAAATTAATTGGTTCCGCAAGTCTCTTCGTCTTGCGAGTTTTTCGTCTTGCGATGCACGGTTTCCCATAGGAATGCATTGAAAATCAATTAATGCGTTCCTATGGAAACCGCCTTCAGACCAGGTCCGGGGACAGTCTGTCCCCCGACCTCTTCTGAAGGCTGGGGGGGGAACAAGGGCTTTTCTTCCCACCCCCAGCATTTTAAAAAACCCCGGGACAGCGGAGGACTTCTCCGCTGTCCGGGGCAATCTTAAAATGCTGGCGGGCGGCATTTTAAAATCGCCCCGGGATAGCGGAGGACTTCTCCGCTGTCCGGGGCGATTTAAAAGCCCCTGGGAAGGCAGGCAGGGAGGACAAAGACTTTTGCCCCCCACCGGCCTTCAGAAGGTGTTCCTGCCCCGCCGCCCGGCTTCGGAGCATCGTTCCCAAGCCGGGCGGCGGGGGGAGGTGTTCCCTCCCCGCCGCCCGGCTTCGGAGCATCGTTCCCAAGCCGGGCGGCGGGAGGAGGCGTTCCCTCCCCGCCGCCCGGCTTCGGAGCATCGTTCCCAAGCCGGGCGGCGGGGGGAGGCGTTCCCTCCCCGCCGCCCGGCTTCGGAGCATCGTTCCCAAGCCGGGCGGCGGGGGGAGGCGTTCCCTCCCCGCCTCCCGGCTTCGGAGCATCGTTCCCAAGCCGGGCGGCGGGAGGAGGCGTTCCCTCCCCGCCGCCCGGCTTCGGAGGAGCCTTCCGAAGCCCGGCGGGGGCGGGAGGAGGTGTCCCCGCCCCACCGCCAGGCTTCGGAGGAGGTCCGAGGACAGTGGGGAAGATGCGCTGCGCTTCCCCGCTGTCCCGGAGATTTCCCTATGGGCTGTCATCTTGCGAAGCAAGCCCATAGGGAAATTCGTTTTGCGAAGCGCCTCCAAAAAGGAAAACCCTTTCGTCTAGCGGGTTTTCCGTCTTGCGAGGCGTTCGTCTTGCGGGGCACCACTGTACCACTATATCTTAACTTGGTATTGAAATGTAAAAAAGAATCAGTGCCAAACATCTGAGCATGTGTAAGAGCGCCGGGTAACAGGGCTGTTGGCATGTGACCGTTGGAGGGATTCCCAGAGAGTAACATAACCTTAAGGCCAAGAAAAAGATTAGCCACCTGTGCCCTAGACAATGAAGGTAATTTGAATAGTCATATCTTGCCATCTGCAGGACCTCCATCAACACTGCCCAGGCTTGTGCCCCAGGGAGGTTACTACGTTCCTGCTAACACAAAGGTATGGCTGCAATCCCAGGGGGGTGCACTCTACTGTCTCTTGAGACCAGTGGTGGAGCAAGCCGATCGGGCGCCTGTGGTGGCGCCCATGCCCTGTGCCCAGGGGCAGGGCCAGCCGCCCACGGGGGCACCGCGGGGCCTCCGAGGAGTCTGCCTGCCTCCTCCCACTCAGCTGCCCTACAGCTGAGGGGGAAGGCAACGGGCGGACTGTTTGGGGCAACGCGGAGCCTGCGGGCTCTCAAGCCACTGCAACACTCCCAGGAGAGACACATGGCTCAGGTGTGCTGCAGGCCCCGTGGTGAGTGCTGCCTGGCATTATGTCACCCCCCCTCAGTGGGGACACCTGGGGCGGACCGCACCTACCGCACCCCCTTGCTATACCCCTGCTTGAGACAGGCAGATCTGCCAACTACAACAATAATCTGGAAGCACTATGATTTCCTTGCAAATATGGCAGACTAACTACAAATTAACCCTTTCATCCCAACTGAGATAAACTGGTATTTGATTTTGCCGGGGACTATGAAAACAGACATCTCACTCAGAGCAAGAAAATATTAGAAAACCAAAGTATGTATGGTGCCAACAGTACAAAAACTGAAACAGTGAATTAGATTTTCCACCCTTCAACTGTCAACAATCTACATTTCTTTCCCAATATTTCCATCAACAAGATCTATGCGCCACTGCAAGCTGGTGGATTTCTTCTTTCAAGGTACTTTTCACAAGCTGTGTCCAATTCCTTTCGGGTAAACAGAAATTAAGCTCACTGGTATCTGACAGAGGAGGAGTTGAGGGTGAGAGTGAGAAAAGATGCTTTGATTAAGCATCACATCTCTCCTCCCCCAACTTTATACTGACTACAACATTACTGTCTCACATCAAATATAACTGATCGGTAGAAAGGACTTCATGATCTGAAAACAGAGACGATGTATGTACTTTTGTAACCCAAAAATCTTTAATAAAAACAATTTAAAAAAAGAAGAGTTCTGTTATAGGGAGACCTTGGATGAGCCAAGTTCTCTCGATATCAGTTTCCTATGCACACAAAAATTGCTCTACAAAAAACTATATGAAGATTAAGAAGAAACTGAGAGCATTAATAGGGTAAAAACTAATTTCAGATGAGAACAACAATTTGAGAATAACATGGGAAACATAATGAGACTGCAAATTTAATACAGCTACTTGATGAGTAAAATGTCCTGGTTTCTTAAGTACTTGGAGTCCCCAGGCAGGATTGGGTGAGATTAGCTGCTGCTAGCCAGTGAATAGCCAATATTAAGCTAAATGGACCAATGACCTGAAACAGCCCCCTATGTTCCAAACTGTAGCTTGGCATCACCAGCATTATTATAATGATTCAAATAACTGGGTAATTACATGGCTCACTACAAGAAAATTAGTTAGACAATTCAAACTCATGACAGATTTTGGATATGGGCTGCAAATGATGAATAAGTTATCTAGTCCTGCTCTTTTACTTAAAAAAAAAGGAAAGGAGCACCTTGTTTTTAGCTAAAAGGTAGGATTGTTCTAGGCTTCATAAAAAACTCAGGACCGCCTTATCAACATGTTCAGTCTAGCTTGTCTTGTAATTTGACTGTTCCCATCAATGCTGAGATTCACACTAGGCCAATTTCTAATACTCACCTAACATTTGGCAGGTCTGAATTTAACAATGGTGCAGTGTTCTCGGAAGTGTTGTTTTTCTGAAGGTGACACCTTAAACCGTCTTTAGCAGGCAAATAATACACCCTTTGAACAACCACTTGGACCTGGATTCCTCTCCCTCCAGCTCTTCCTTGTGTCTCCACAATATCAAGAAGAGAGTCACTTAAGGGAGTAACTGCAAAGGGAGATAATTTGGGCTCATAGTTGCTATCGGTATGCACAGTCTTCAAAGTCTTCATATTGAGACAGGGGATCTGGCAAAAAAGGCACAAACCAAATCATTGTACAGATTGCAGGAAAACATACAGGAAAGAAAGGCTTGGCTTACCACAAATTCCCATCCTTCTAGCACAGAGGTGGACAATGTGTGGTCCAGAGACCCACCTCATTTTATATGCTCCCACTCCTCAACATCTCCCAAAGCTACCCTAATATTTCATCTCATCAGAGCTCCTTTCTTTCTGTTTGTTTCCTCCTTATTGTTCCTGGCATTAAACATGTTTCCTCTTTCTGTGTTTTTTGGGAGCAATTGGAAGAAATAGTATTTGATTTTGGGGGGAGGGGGGAATAAAGAACGTTTTTCCTGGTTGTATGACTTGAGGAAAAGAAGTCGTTCCCCCAGCAGCAATAACTGTCTCAGAACAAATTGGCAGGGGTCTTCCATATAAACAATTCTGTGTTTGAGTAAAAAAATGTGTGTGAGGTAGACATGGTGAAACCAAAGCAGGACAATCTTTATTCTGAATTAGTTCGTCTAGATGACAAACTGGTGAAAGAAATGGCAGTAGCTTTCTCAAAGCAATTTGTTCTTTTGTCTCTTAATAAAGCCATGTGAAGGTGAGCATTTTCTGCTTGGCCAGTTCTTGCCTAGGAAAGCACGGATAATCTCCCTCTGATGAGGCTGAAGACTGAATCTACCAACCAAGAGGAGATAAGCTGGATGTTCCAGCCTTTGTACTCCTATAACAGCGGCAGGACAACTTTTCTTTTTCTGTCTAGGGCTGCATTCCCTTGGGAACAAACATGGTAACAGAAAAAACAGAACCGCAGTCACAAAAAATTAAGGCTACAATCCTATACAAACACTAGGAAGAGGACTGCTGACCACAGTGGGTCTTACTTTTCAGTAAACATGAATAGATAGCACTTTGAGATCTATAACAAACACAAATAACTGATAATATGGAGACAGTGAATCCCTATTTGTCCCCCCCCCATTCCTTTTCAATTTGTGTCTATAGGTGCAGATCAGCCTAAACCTTAACCATGAGTGAACAGACTGCTCCGTCTTTACTCTGAAAAGAACAGGAGATACTGGTAAATAAAAATATATTTTGCTCTTGGGAGAGCAGAGGCCAATGCTTATATTCTAGAAGTAATCTCATTTGAGTATGTCTTCAGTTTGATCCTCCACATCCAAAGGCAGGACCTTTGGGCAGAAAATCCACTTTATAATGCCTGCTGTGTGAAGAAGCTCAGAGATTCTCCAAGCATAAGCGAAGCTCACTAACAGAACCTTCTTAAGAGGAGGTTCAGGTCAGGAAACATTAACTAAGAGTTCAAAAGGATAGATTAGAGCCATGACCACCCAGTTCAAGTTTCATATAGGAATGCTGTGGACTTCTCCATGTGTTGTACAGTGTTGTACACTGTGCATTTCCCCACCTTCCCTGCGACTAAAGGTAAGATGGAAAATGCTGCACAATGACTTCAGAACACATCCCTAGAGCTTATGGACAGGGAGGGTGGGAACACCACTGGCTTGCTGTTTGACAACATGTAGCTATCCCTTTAGAAAGGCTGGTAATTTTAAGTAGCTGAACAGCAAATCAGATGAAAAGTAATTGCTAAATATATGACAGCAATACTACTCAAGACAGTAGTGAGGCTAAAGCAAAGTATCACATCAGTTCAGTGTGTCAACATGTAGGGAAAAATCTTGATTGTAAAATATTAATATTATTCACTAGCAAACTCTAAATCTTGCTTAAATGAAGGATATTGAGCGTACATGAACGTTCCTGCATGCACTGTTTGCAAATATCTGTTCATCAACTCGCTACAAAGTGTTAAGCTGTAAAATTAAACATTACCTGGTTAACTGCAGATGTTTGAGGCCAATTGTCTTTTATGGTGGAAAAATTGAATACCCAAGCCAAAGATATCTTTCTTTTAATAAGCAATGTTTCTTGAAGATGTTGCCTTTCCATCTCTGTTGGTTCTTTAATAACTTTCTGACTGAAGTAAGTATTCATGATAACTGGAATGCTATCATTTGGAAGAAGAAGTCTTTGCCTGAAAAACAGAATCATGGTTATCTCATTTACTTTAACAAGTTAGAGCTGTAGACTAGTAAGCAAACCTATAATCATGAATTAGAATCTGCTTCAGAAGTATATGTAGATTACTTTCCTGCAATCTTTTAAAATATTTTTTACTAACAAATTAAGACTCACTTTTTCCCTCCTAAAAAGTAAGGGGAAATGTGTGTGCGACTTATGGAGCGAATGCAGGCTGCGCAGCTATCCCAGAAGCCAGAACAGCAAGAGGGATTGCTGCTTTCACTGTGCAGCAATCCCTCTTGCTGTTCTGGCTTCTGCGATTCAGAATATATTTTTTTCTTGTTTTCCTCCTCCAAAAACTAGGTGCGTCTTGTGGTCTGGTGCATCTTGTAGAGCGAAAAATAAGGTAAGTTTATTGACTATTGTAAGAAATATTAGTTACCACCAGCCATACATTATGGGTTTACAAAAGACATTAGGTTATGTGTTGTAAGCGTTTGATGTATTGGTTTAATTGTCAATTTTTTAAAAGGGCAGATTTGTGTATTAATCTGGACCAATATATGATTTAGCCTCATTAATTGCCCATTACAAGCTTTTGTAAAATCTGGTACAACTGAGCAGTTTGATGTGTATCATGTGCTTTTGAACAACAACAACAACAACAACAACAACGAGTCCATTCCCATACTTGGCTATGCAGAAGCAGTGCAACATAGCACAACACCCAGGGCTCCCAATATTGGCACAACAGAAACACTCCTCCCATTTTGATGCTGGAAGGCGGCTCTGCCTGCTTTGCTAAACAATAATCAGCACAACCGCTTTGATGTAGAGAAGAATATGTTATAATACACCTGCTTTGTTGAAGGGGAGGGGCCATCACTGGTTTCCTTACTTCCAAGTAAAGAATGTGGACAGAATCTGTGGAAGTATCTATCACTGTATACTTGATCCCTGATTATGTCAGCTGCACGGGGTGTAGCCAAGTAAGTCAAGAGTGTAGTAAATGCTTTATCCCTTTCTAAAGGATAATGTATTTGCACCCATAGTTAAGATGGCTGTGTCCCATTCATGGTGAAAACACATTTGGTTTGGCTGCACTAGCTGCACCAGTATTGAGAAACAGCTTGCCCCTTGAAGTTCATATAAGTTCCTTTCTGATTGCTTCTACTAGTTTGTATAGTCATCCCCCACACCCCACAGGCTTTAACTTACAAGGTTGACATTATTTCATTGAAGACTGTTTTATCTGCTATGTTTGTCTTGTTACACTCGGGTTACAGACACTTCAGGGTATGTGTTTTCAGGTTGCGCACTGCGCTGAACCCGGAAGTACCAGAACGGGTTACTTTCGGGTTTCGGCGCTTGCGCAGAAACACTAAATCGCGCTTTGCACATGCGCAGAAGCGCCAAATCACGACCCGCGCGTGTGGAGACGTGGCACTGCGGGTTGCGAACGTTCGCAACCCGAGGTTCCACTGTATTGGAAAGGCACAGGATAAACCTTTACAATAAATAATAAAAGTTTAAGAGTGAACTCCTAGCAACCAGCATAGCTTATTATTTACAATTGGCTTTTCCCTTTATCCTCTTTGTCTTGCACAAAATGACAAGAGATATTAGGATGCAAGTCTAAGGAAACAGACACGACATGCCTACTATGCTGAGAAAAAGGGAGTAAGAAGTCATCCAATGTATGACAATGCTGCTTATGCATTCATAAGTTTATTTAGTTTGATTTATTAAATTTCCATAGCGCCCTTATTCTGAGGATTACAGGGCAGTTTACAATATAAAAACACAAAAGTACATAATATAGTAACAAATAAAAACAATATCACCACTATCCCAGCACAGTTTAATAGGCCATAGATTGTTTAATTAGCCAAATGCCTGGAAGAGGAATGTTTTTGCCAGGCATCTAAAGATATGTAATGCAGGCGCCAAGCAAGCCTTCCTGGGGACAGCATTCCACAGACAGGGAGCCACTGCAGAAGAGGCCCATTCTTATGTTGCCACCCTCTTGACCTCTCATGGAGGAGGCATATGAAGAAGGGCTTCAGATGGTGATCAAATGGTGCAGGTCAGTTTATATAGGGAGAGGTAGTCCCTGAGCTTTTGTGTTCTTGAGATGTTTAAGGCTTTATAGGTCAAAACCAGCACTTTGAATTGGGTCCAGAAACTAACTGTCAGCCAATTGCTTCCCTCTCTGCTCGAGTTAGGTTGGTGAGTGTCTATGTTACAGATGGTGACTATGCACTTGTTTGAATAAACATAGAACTCTGTTTGCAGAGATTGCTAAAACTACAGGCATATGATGTGAAAAGGCATGGCAAAGTTTTCAAATAGTTAACTAAGTAGTGCAGCAGTAGCAAAATCAAACAGGTTGAGACATTGCTGAACTATATTTACATTCTGTTACTGCATTTACTTTCCAGGGTTTTTAATTAGTTCCTCCTATTCATTACCTGGGGTGTGTGGAAAATTGTGACGCTCAGTCATACAGAAACTGCCTGACTACGGTAAATGAAACAATGATGGGAACATCACTCCAGGTTTGTCATAACAGGGCACACTTTCTTTTTGGGTTCTGTCGAAACCTCAATTCACAGCATAGTAATGGTGTCTGCAGATCAGAGTGGCTAACATTCCATAAATGAACTGGGAAATTATGGTAGGTACTTTTTAATGTAAAGCCACTTGTACATTAGTAGAACAATTCTGAACGAAACTGAAATAGACAAGTGATAAGAAGGGGTTGCATCCAACCCTGTTCTATAAAGAGTAAGCCTGCTGAAATTAATGCACCTAGATTAATCATGCCCACTAATTTAAATAGGTCTACTTTGAGTAGAAGTAGCACTAGATCTGCCCCATCTGCTGCCTATCTTGCTCATGCAAGGTGGCAGTCATCCTATGGATCCTGAAGGTGGTGTTGACCAGTTTCAAATATATCCTTCATAGGCAAATTTGTAGCCAGACAACTACAGACACTGAATGACACTGATTATCTGGATCAATTTCAATTTACTGTTCAGCATTGAAACAGTTCTGGTAGCCCCAGCAAATGACCTAATACAAGGAAATATATATACTTTGAGTGTTGCCCTGTTATTTCTCTTGGACCTCAAAGAGTCTTTTGATATCATGGTATACTACTGGATTGACTGTCCAAAATGGGGAATGCCATGTTCTAGCACAGGGGTCAGCAAACTTTTTCAGCAGGGGGCTGGTCCACTGTCCCTCAGACCTTGTGGAGGGCCGGACTAGATTTTTTTTGGGGGGGGGGGAGAAATGAACAAATTCCTATGCCCCACAAATAACCCAGAGATGCATTTTAAATAAAAGCACACATTCTACTCATGTAAAAACACGCTGATTCCCGGACCGTCCACAGGCCGGATTTAGAAGGCAATTGGGCCAGATCTGGCCCCCCTGGGCCTTAGTTTGCCTACCCATGTTCTAGCAGTTCTGATCCTCTCTGGATGGTTGTTCCAGAAGGTGGTACATGGCATCTATTGCTTTGCCCTAAGCTGTGCGACTGAGTGCTCCTATATACCATCTATATGAAACTGCTTAGGTCATTGAAGGATTTGGGGTGATATGAAGGCCGCTCTAGAGAAGACAGAAGTGTTGTTGATGGTTTGTCTGACCTAGGAGGTGATGGTCAGCCTATGCTGGAGAGCGCTGTACTTCCTCTGAAGGCTGGAAATGCTCTTAACTCCAGCCTTGTCTGTAGAGATCCAGCTGGAACCCATGACATGGAGCACCTTTAATTCAGGCTGGTGGCCCAGCTGCAACCTTTCTTGGCTGGAGATGTTCTAACCTCAGAAATCCATGCTTGGAATAACATCTCACCCAGAGTGCTGCAATGCTTTATATGAAGGGCTGCCTTTGAGAACTATTCAGAAACTACATTTGGTTCAAAATACTGCAGCTAGATTGCCAACTGGACTGAGTGAAGGGTCCATAATGTAAGTTTTAACACAACTACACTTCCTCCTGGGCCATTTCTATGCACAATTCAACATGCCAGTTTCTAAAACCCTAAGTTGTTTGAGACCTAACTACTTAAAAAAATGGCTGGCTGTTCTACCAGAAAATTACAGGACACACAAACCAGCAATATATTGATTGGGCAGGTGAAAATATTATGGCAATTTGTGGTGGCACACAGCATAGGGGGGCAGGATATGAGAAGCCATGTGGTCACAAGAGAAGGATTTTAGAATTACAGCAAAAGACTCAGGGTGTGTGAATTGGGTGTGTGTGTGCATGAATTAGGCACTCATTTCAGATTGTCAGCATACCAACATCCAGTTACAGTGGTGCCTCGCAAGACGAAATTAATTCGTTCCGCAAGTTTTGTCGTCTTGCGATTTTTCCGTCTTGCGAAGCACGGTTTCCCATAGGAATGCATTGAAAATCAATTAATGCGTTCCTATGGAAACCAACTTCAGACCAGGTCCGGGGACAGTCTGTCCCCCGACCTCTTCTGAAGGCTGGGGGGGGGGACCAAGGGCTTTTCTTCCCACTCTCAGCATTTTAAAAAACCCCGGGACAGCGGGGACTTCTCCGCTGTCCAGGGCGATCTTAAAATGCTGGCGGGCGGGAGCGAAGCCTCCGCTGTCGCCCACCAGCATTTTAAAAAGCCCCGGGACAGCGGGGGACTTCTCCGCTGTCCGGGGCGATCTTAAAATGCTGGCGGGCGGGAGCGAAGCCTCCGCTGTCGCCCGCCAGCATTTTAAAAAGCCCCGGGACAGCGGGGGACTTCTCCGCTGTCCGGGGCGATCTTAAAATGCTGGCAGGCGGGAGCGAAGCCTCCGCTGCCGCCCGCCAGCATTTTAAAAAGCCCCGGGACAGCGGGGGACTTCTCCACTGTCCGGGGCGATCTTAAAATGCTGGCGGGCGGGAGCGAAGCCTCCGCTGCCGCCCGCCAGCATTTTAAAAAGCCCCGGGACAGCGGGGGACTTCTCCGCTGTCCTGGGGCGATTTAAAAGCCCCCGGGAAGGCAGGCAGGGGGGACAAAGACTTTTGCCCCCCGCCGGCCTTCAGAAGAGGTCCAGGACCTCTTCTGAAGACGGGCGGGGTGCGAAAGTCTTTGCTCCCCCCCGCCTGCCTTCAAAAGCCGTCCGGGACAGCGGAGAAACACGCTGCGTTTCTCCGCTCTCCCGGGAAGGCAGGCAGGGGGGAGCAAAGACTTTCGCTCCCCGCCGGCCTTCAGAAGAGGTCCAGGACCTCTTCTGAAGGCGGGCGGGGGGCGAAAGTCTATGCTCCCCCCCCGCCTGCCTTCAAAAGCCCTCCGGGACAGCGGAGAAAGGCGCTGCGTTTCTCCGCTCTCCCGGGAAGGCAGGCAGGGGGGAGCAAAGACATTTGCCCCCCGCCGGCCTTCAGAAGAGGTCCTGGACCTCTTCTGAAGGCCGGCGGGGGGCGAAAGTCTTTGCTCCCCCCCCACCTTCAAAAGCCGTCTGGGATAGCGGAGAAACGAAGGCTGGCGGCGGGAGGAGGTCTCTCCGCCCGCCGCCAGCCTTCGGAGGAGGTCCGAGGACAGTGGGGAAGACACGCTGCGCTTCCCCGCTGTCCCGGAGATTTCCCTATGGGCTTTCGTCTTGCGAAGGAAGCCCATAGGGAAATTCGTTTTGCGAAGCGCCTCCAAAACGGAAAACCCTTTCGTCTAGCAACCGTCTTGCGAGGCGTTCGTCTTGCGGGGCACCACTGTATTCATAAACAAATATTAGTGAAATGTAAATCAGAAAGCAACAAGCGAATCATTTTCAACATGACACACACTTACCAGGGAACCAATGCTCTTTAGCTACTGGCAGCGAACTGCCAAGCTGTGTATTAACGTTATATCTTTTCTACAGGTGCCTGCTCTCAAACTAAATGACAAGCAATGCCAAGAAGTAGAGGCCAATATAAAACAGACACATATTTTTCCTGATTATCATTTACAATTACACTTATTGTTCCCCACTATGGCATTAATCCAGTGCTCTCTAGAGCAGTGTTTCCCAACCTTTTTTGGGCAAAGGCACACTTCTTTCATGAAAAAAATCTCGAGGCACACCACCATTAGAAAATATTAAAAAATTTAACTCTGTGCCTATATTGACTATATAAAAAGTACAGTGGTGCCTCGCAAGACGAAATTACAGTGGTGCCTCGCAAGACGAAATTAATTCGTTCCGCAAGTTTTTTCTTCTTGCGAGTTTTTCGTCTTGCGATGCACGGTTTCCCATAGGAATGCATTGAAAATCAATTAATGCGTTCCTAGGGAAACCGACTTCAGACCAGGTCCGGGGACAGTCTGTCCCCGGACCTCTTCTGAAGGCTGGGGGGGGGGGACAAGGGCTTTTCTTCCCACCCCCAGCATTTTAAAAAACCCTGGGACAGCGGAGGGCTTCTCCGCTGTCTGGGGCGATCTTAAAATGCTGGCGGGCGGCATTTTAAAATCGCCCCGGACAGCGGAGGACTTCTCCGCTGTCGGGGCGATTTAAAAGCCCCTGGGAAGGCAGGCAGGGGGGACAAAGACTTTTGCCCCCCGCCAGCCTTCAGAAGAGGTCCTGGACCTCTTCTGAAGGCTGGCGGGGCGAAAGTCTTTGCTCCCCCCGCCTGCCTTCAAAAGCTGTCCGGCCCAGGCTTCCCGGACCTTTCCGCCAGCAGCGGCAGCGCTGCCGCTGCTGGCGGAGACTTGCCGGCATGCGAAGCCTGCGCGCAGCGCGCCCAGGCTTCACAGACCTCTCCGCCAGCAGCGGCAGCGCTGCCGTTGCTGGCGGAGACCTGCCGGCATGCCGAAGCCTGCGCGCAGCGCGCCCAGGCTTCGCAGACCTCTCCGCCAGCAGCGGCAGCGCTGCCGCTGCTGGCGGAGACCTGCCGGCATGCCGAAGCCTGCGCGCAGCGCGCCCAGGCTTCGCAGACCCCTCCGCCAGCAGCGGCAGCGCTGCCGCTGCTGGCGGAGACCTGCCGGCATGCCGAAGCCTGCGCGCAGCGCGCCCAGGCTTCGCAGACCTCTCCGCCAGCAGCGGCAGCGCTGCCGTTGCTGGCGGAGACCTGCCGGCATGCCGAAGCCTGCGCGCAGCGCGCCCAGGCTTCGCAGACCTCTCCGCCAGCAGCGGCAGCGCTGCCGCTGCTGGCGGAGACCTGCCGGCATGCCGAAGCCTGCGCGCAGCGCGCCCAGGCTTCGCAGACCCCTCCGCCAGCAGCGGCAGCGCTGCCGCTGCTGGCGGAGACCTGCCGGCATGCCGAAGCCTGCGCGCGCTGACATCAGCGCGCCCAGGCTTCGCGGATCTCTCCTGCCTTCAAAAGCCGTCCGGGATAGCGGGAAGCGCTTCCCTGCTATCCCGGACTGCTTTTAAAATGCTGGCGCTGGGGAGCAAAGCCTTTCGGCCCCCGCCAGCCTTCCTGGACCTCTTCTGAAGGCCGGAGGGGGGGGGAAAGGCTTTGCTCCCCACCGCTAGCATTTAAAAGAGGAGATTTCCCGCCCCACCGCCCGGCATCGGGGCATCGTTCCGATGCCGGGTGGCGGGGGAGAGGTTCCCGCCCCACCGCCCGG